TGATATATATATATATATATATATATATATTTTTTTTATTTTTATTTTTTTTTTAAAATAATTATTTACATGAGGAAACCAAGCATTTTAATTTATGGCTACTCTGAGCAATCGGGTCAAGGGTTGCCATGCTAGCATTCTGTTTTCAATATTAATAGTGGCTTGCATACAAAACCGGTTATAATAAGTCAGATATACAGTATGTGCTCAGATTTAATTCCCTTGCCCTTTTGCAGTGACTCACTCACCAGGGTAAGATGAATTCTCGAAGCTCATTTTGTTTTGAATATTGAACTCTATTTTGCCTCTGAAAGGTCATTCGTAATATCTTAATAAAGCAGCCAATTTTGACAGCAAAATATAATCACCTTCCATTTTTCTCAAGCAAATGGCTGTACCACCCCGTTCATTCTGAATCCTGAATCTCAGTTGGAATCACCCTCCCTCTATCTTTCAGGATTTATGTGGATATTGATATAATATACGGCCTCTATTATACATCCCCGGCTGATTATCATGGCAAAGTCCGGTGCAAATACATGTCAGAAATGTTGCCTCATCCAACCCCTTTCTCACGGAATCATTTACCATGAAAATGATTAATACCGTATAAGCCTTCCGAGAGCACAAGCACAGTACCCATCAACTTGTCTAACAGGAATTAAACATTCATCAAAATTCAGAACACCTCCTTGTCATAGAGAGCTGAGCCTCTGTGATGGAACAGCACCGGGGATCTCTGCGGTAGAGGAAGTTTAATGTATGCAAGACTGTATTATTATACTTTACTTTCAAGCATCTGAGAAAAGCATGTTGATTAAGGATCAGCTTTTATGATTAAGAGAGAGAAAAAAGGAGAGTAACTTGTTTTCAGATCAGTTCTCAGATACTGGTTGAGGCCCCCCAAGTGCTGAAATCCCATCAAACATTCTGGCTTCTCCCGCTCTTTCATCTATGTTTCCCACCTGGAGGCCTGTAATTCCACTGCAGATACAAAACTGGAACAGAAATTAACTGCAATCCATCTCCAATGCAGAATCTCCCAGCATCTCTCCAATTTTTCCGACACTTCCTAAAAAATGATATTGAGAAAAGATATTCCTATATCAAAACGTCCCAGTCATTTTTGAATTATAATGAAGGGCAAAAATAGCTCATAGACTAGCAATGAGATACATTCATTTCTAGAGATACTGCATATAACAGTAAAAAAGCAATAGGTCCAACAATATGATTTTTTTTAAATATAACATGCATGAATAGGACAGTATTGGCCTCTTGAATTTTGATGTTTTTATGTTCTTACAGCCAATAATATACGGCAAAAAACAAAACACATCTATCTATCTATCTATCTGTCTATCTATCTAAAAAAAGGTACCATAGTAGACAGCATAATTATGTTTATTCACTTTTGGAACAGGCTTCACGTCGTTAACATATGATAAATTTAAATTGAGATATTTATTGATGGCACAGCCATTAAAAATCACAGCGTACAGTATCTGTTCAACTGCCCTGACAGACAAAATAAAGCCATGAAGCTTATTTGATGGAGCTGTAGCACATCTGAGAAGAATTCGCTGACTAATGTATCTGTCAGTCTCTCTGGCTAATGCACTTCAGGCTGTCCTCAGGTCAGCCGAGACAGCAGTGATTTAAAGGATCACAAAGTGAGCAAGGTGACTTTTGAGTTTCAAGTGTCCCAGTACTGGACTTTGAAATGGCCTGGTACTTGAAACACGCTCTTTCATAGAGTTCCCTCCTAGCTTATACACTTACTCTTCTAGAGTCTTTCATTTCTCTAAGCGTGCTCTGGTCGTATAGTCTGCTCTGTCAAAAGGCGAAAGTGCTGGACAGACTCATCTGGAGGACTGAAATTCTCAGAGCGTTCTTACAATTCAGTTTGGTTGCAGTAGATTAACTGACTCTGCCTGATGTCTGGTTATATTGAGCAACGGCTTTCCCTAGGGCAACAATACAGGGCTATATGCTGCCAGTCTGTAGTGCCAAAAAGAAACCAATTTATTTGAACTGATATAAACACACAACAAGCAGTGCTGAAACGAAAATTAAGCAAGTTTGATTAGTGCTAGAGTTATTTGAACAAACCAAACTTACCATTTAAACTTATATTGTGTGTGCCTCAAATCATTCGGTTTGTTGATACTTTTCAGAGTGATCAGACTTACAATTTTCACTCAAAGTGGGTGAAAAAATCCAATAACATTGGATTTTTATCTCTAGGCTTTTTAAGTAGGGACAGTAAACAACAATCTAACAACAACCCAGAACTCCCTAGCAATCATAGTGTAGACTTTTGATGACAGACACACATACCAGCTTGGTTAGTTTATTCAACAACTGCGGGCTCTCCCTTCAACCTGGGACTCACTGACGTCACTTCCTTGGAAGTCCGTGACTTAAAGAAACATTCCACATAACTCTACACATAGCAACAACTTAATATCTAATCAGTGAGATTCGCATTGTTTCGGAATCTCCATGCAGAATTCACATGTTGTTTGCAACTTGTTTGTTTTGGTTCTGGCTCAAATGATCATTTACTTGTAACAAAACTTTGCTACTCATTCTAACTGACTGAAGCTTGTTATCAAGTTTGCAGGCAGTGTATTTGTGTCAGAGATGTCAATGAATATATTCATCTTTATGCCATGGCTTGACGTACTCAGTTAGGCAGGATTGTCAAATAATCAATTTTTCCTGCACATTTCATTTTCTGCCAAATGGTTTGCCGCAATTCCAACTCTGAATTGCTTAAGGTCTTCTTTTAAATTCTTCATATGACGTAAAGTGTTTAATTGACATTGGAGATGACAAGCAGTTTCACTTGACTGAGCTGGTTAATGATTTTTCACATTCACATTCAAAGCCAAATTTAACAGCAAGTCACCTGCTGAAGTCTTTAAGGAGGAACAACGGAAAGCCAATATTACATGATTAATTTATGTTCACCTTTTAAACACCAGACGCAGTTACAATGGAATGCAGCAATCACAAAATATTTATTCACTTTCTCAACCTGTTTCTAAAGTGGTGTTTCACACCTAACAAAAACAATTAATTATAGTGCATCTCTAAAGTGGATGCTGGCCTGTTTTGGAGTGTTTTGCTGACATGAGGAAGTGTACACATGTATTTCGATTGTATTAATGGCTCTTGGAAGTAGGCCAACATTTGTTTATTTGATTCACCAATTGGCAGGAGAAACTCATGTAATGTTATTAATGATCTTCTGATGTTTCTCATAGGCCCACTTCCTCAGACCATAAACAGTGCTTAGGAGAGACCAGGGCATTTTGTAAGTTGTAACATGGTCAGTTTAACCAATTAGAAATGAGCTGTGTGAAAAAATGGAAATGATTTGAACATGACTATATAACCAACGTATACACACACACACACACACACA